CCCTAAATTTAAGACCTCACACGTCTTAAATGTTTGTTATACAATTTTAAGATATTTAAGACTTATTTAAGAAAAATAAATAAAAACCTTTTTATTCACAAGTATGCTCCAAAATACATTTTACAGTTCGCACACATCTATTTTTAGTCGCAAATACGAGTAAAATAATTGCACAGTTGATTTCTGAGTTTGTGCAAGTCTTGTGTTGGCAAACTTCTGAAATTGTGATGTGTTTGAGTGACACAAGACATATGTAGTAGATTCAGCCTTAATATATTTTGTTATATATACATCAGTTGCTTATCCAGACAGACTGAGAGTTTTTGGTGAGGATTTTTTTAAGGAACAAAACGTGGTGTCTATATTAGTTGGTCCTTGAATCATTCACTCGGTTTGTTTAAAAACGTTGATTCATTCAGGTGTTTTGTTTACAGATGTGCAATGATTTTATACAGGCTTTGTTAGGAACTATATTTATTAGTGGCGCAAAAAGAGACTGGGAATATTGTGTCTTTACGTAAGTTATTCAATATTAACTTTATTTATTGAATTGTATAATGTAAATCAATGTCAAACTCAAAAATGTGTTGTCATATTCTTTGTGTAGTTTGAAAGTCACTACAGGAAGGTTTTTATGAGTGTGTTGCAAGATGTTCTTGACTCTAAGATTAAGCATTTAATTTGTGAACAAACGGGAGACAATAAAACAATTCACATTGTAAGTTGAGAGGCATGAGTGCACTAGATTTGATCAACACATGTCTTGAAATAGCGCATTAACCCCATCTGCTGCTGGATCAATTGTGTAGCTTGTTCTGCGGTCTGGATTCTCCACCTCATTTGTTGGCCTTCTCAGTCATGTCTCAGTATCAGCTACAAATTAAAGCTTGTGGTCGAATCAGCATGCCTGTGATGGCCGTGCTCAATGGTCCTCATCTAAATGCTGTTTTTGTCCCTTGACCCCTTGAAAAAAGAAAGAAATGGCTCTCATTTAGAGGGTTTCAGTGCAAGCGTGTCATCAGGTTGTTCACATTTGCACTTCCAATCAATCACAGCGTTAACCTGTAGTTGGAAACAGCATGCTAATTGAGACATGCCTTAAGAAATATGTTCAAGAGGATTTTTTTCTGAGCAAATTGTTTAAATTGCTTGTTTTACTGTCAAATATATGTAATGTGGTGTGTGTTTCTGGCACAAGTTGTCATCTTGCTATTTTGGTGTGATTTAGTATTTATCACAATTTAAAGAAACAGTTCAGCCTAAAATGAAATTTCTGTCATCGTTTACTCACTTTCAAGCTGTTTCTGCATAATTTCCATTGAACAAAAAGGAGATGTTGGGCAAAACATTCAATGATATTTTACAATGGAACTGGAGATGGGGACTATATATGTATATATAGTATATATATACAGTGGGTACGGAAAGTATTCAGACCCCCTTAAATTTTTCACTCTTTGTTATATTGCAGCCATTTGCTAAAATCATTTAAGTAAATTTTTTTTCCTCATTAATGTACACACAGCACCCCATATTGACAGAAAAACACAGAATTGTTGACATTTTTGCAGATTTATTAACAGTATATTTCTTGAGCACTAAATCAGCATATTAGAATGATTGAAGGATCATGCTGACACTGATACAATTGGCTGCGAACAATTCAGCTTTGCTGGAATAAATTATATTTTTCAATATATTAAAACAGAAACAGTTTGTCTAAATGTAACAATATTACACAATATTACTGCAAGCATTAAAAACTTCTTTTAAAAACATTAAAAAAAAACTTCACTATTCCAAACGTTTGACTTGTATTGGCATTTTTTATTATTATTATTATTATCTTTAGCCTGTCTTATGAGAGAGATTGACCAACTTTTATCCATTATTCACTGAAAATAAGATTTCAAATTTAATTAGTGCTTCATGCTTCATTTTAATTAGTGCTTCAGTATTATTGGCTTTAGAAAATGTGGAATATAATGTACATTCAATGGTTTATTTTTTTTATTATAGTTTTTTGGTATCATGATATTTCTGCTATTTTTGAAGCTTGAGATCTCTTGTCCCTTTTTACTTTAATTGTGTGCCAAATAAAAAAAAAAAACTAAAAAAAAAAACCCAGCTTGGATATGCCAAGAAAGAGAGCCATACAGGTTTGGAACAACCTGTGGGTGAGTAAATGATGATGTTCCTTTTAAAATGGCAATAAAAATATCAGGAATGTAACTTTTACTCCTTTGTCCGTTAGAAAGATCCTTTGTCTTCTACTAGGGGTAAAGGGCATTTCCAAAGGGCACAGTAGTGATAGAGGATCTGCTATTGACAGATCTTGATATAGAAAAAACCCATATCCGCACATCACATCAATGTAGATCCAGCAGATTTTGAGTCTGAAGCGTAGGCTGTACTTGGCCGCTCTGGTTTCAGATGAAAGAAAATATCCCTCTAATCCAGGTACAGAGAAAAGAGAGCTAGTATATGAGAGCAGATTAAGGTGGAGCTGGGGTTGAGGAGGGGGGGTGGAGGGTGACCTGGAGATTGGACTGATTGAAATACAGATAAGATATTAGACATGATCTGCGTCGACAAATCCTTAGCTTAAGTTGTTGATGTTACTTTTCAGGAAATAAAGTGGATTTAATCTCAGAAACCCTTGTGATTTTCGATCTGGAAAGCTCTTTGGAAATTATGCTTCCGGATATTCGAGCGGAAAGGTGTTAGCATCTTTTTCATTTGGGCACTGCTGAATTAATAAACTGCAAACTGCGAGACTTGTCCACTGCGGCAGTCATGCTTTCAAGCCGTTTTCATTCCTGCTCTTCCTCCTTGTAAAGCAGAACTTGGCTTTTTCTCAAGGCAACTCTTGACATGCTCCCTCTCACGATTGCTTTGCTCACTCTGTAGAATGCCGCATAAATCACACCGTGTCCCATTTACATCTGTCTTTCTCAGCCGGTAGTTCAGAACCGAACGCTCCTCAATTCACCCTCCCAGACAGCCGGTCTGAACAGGAATCTGAGAGTGGTATTGAGGAGCACAGTGGAACCCATATGCACTTCAAAGATTAGATTGATCCGTGTTTTATGCTCTGATTTCTCAAGTTTATATTGCTGCCAGTGTAGCGAAGTTTACGTATTTCTTAGTTTGTTTTTGCTCACTCCAAGGTTTGGACCTAAGCTTTCTTATCTAGTAAAGTCTGTGGAATATTTCACCACAAAATCTAACGAAAAAAAAAAAGAATATAAAGGAAACAAAGCTTACTCTCTTAAGAGTTTATGCAGTGTGGCATTTTGATAAATGAGTACATTCTCACCAAATTATCATTAGTGTAATGTGAAAAAAAATCTTATTCTGATTGGTTGAATCTCATTATTTTTTTAGTAAATGATTTTCACAGAATTGTACCTTACCTACTCAATGTGTGTGTGTGTGTGTGTGTGTTTGTAGTTTTTTATCATTTTATTTTCACATACTGTTACAGTGCAAGAACGCTTTCACTAGTATGCATAATTTTCTTTATGAAAAATATTTTTCTTTTTGATTTTGGTGGGAAATATTGTCATCTCTGCTTGTTTTTGTTATATTTACTTGAAGAAATAATGAATCTGAAGATAAAAATATAAAATATTTTGTGCTCTGATTGCCTAGAATACAACATAAACACAATGAAGCTGTCTGTTCATTAAACCCATCATTTGTTTCGCTAAATTAGGACTATTTTAAAGAAGACAAGTTATGCCTGGGGATTCTGGGACTTTACAGTAGACCCCATTGATTTCCACTCCCTTTCCAGCAGCTTTTGTGCTTTGCACTGTCAAAGGCTTGAAACACATAGAGAATTACTCCTTTCCTGGTGATCCCTATGGGACTCCAAGTAAAAACTGAATAAAAAAAACAATGCTTCCTCTCCTCATTCTCACTACAAACATCCCTCAACCACACCAAGCACACAGTAGATATCGAAGTTTGCCATGTGAAGATTCAACAAATGTATTCAACTGTACCGAGTGTGAAAGAAAGTGTTATTTAACCTGGGGCTGATATAGAAAAAGCTCCACAACTCATACACAACCCATAATGACACATAACTTAATGGCATTTTTGCCAGATAAGATCACATTCTCGTTTTAATAACCTCAGAGTTTTGTAAAAGCTAGAAGAGATGAATTTGTATAGATTTATGTGAGATTAAAGGGCTAGGTTAGCCAAAAAATTTAAATTCTGTCATTAATTGCTCACCCTCATGTAGCTCCAAGCCTGTAAGACCATTGTTCATCTTCAGAACGCAAATTCAGATATTTTTGATGAAATCCGAGAGCTTTCTGACCCTTCATAGAGAGCAATGCAACTGAAATGTTCCCAGGCCCAGAAAGGTAGTAAGGACATCGTTAAAATAGTCCATGTGACATCAGTGGTTCAACCATAATTTTACGATGCTACTAGAATACTTTTTGTGCGCAAAGAAAACAAAACTAACGACTTTATACAACAATGTCATATATGTATCATATATTGTCATATATGTAGAGAGCACTTTTCACAATCCAATTCCCAAACTCCTGATGTGTATCATTTTTATTTTTTATTTTTTGGTGCTTATCCAGCTTCAGTTGGCAGTATGGCACATTACAGAAGTTAAATACACTGAAAAAACCTGCTGTAACAGTTTTCACTCAGACGTTGCTAGTAAATTTCACAATTACAAAGAAACCGCAAGTAATGCACTGAATTAAGCCTGACATTCTGAAGTAGAAAAACTGAAATAGTACCTTCTTGTAATAATTTTTACAGTGTAGGTGGTGAACATAATTTTATAATGAAAAGCAAATTCAACATGTTTATTTCAGGTGCCAAAAAGAACTGAATCAGAATTGAAATATTGAGACATTATGGCAGCACTCTGCATTTTAACTCGGTCAACTATTACTAGAACTTTACCAGAGTGGAGGATCTTTGAATCAAACTAAGCACCTTATTTTTTGTGTTCCTTGCAGAGTGAAGAACGAGAAACCACAGAGAGGCCTCCATACCTTCGTGATTGGATGCGAGTTGACTTTGACCGTACCAAAGTGAAGATGAAGTTGCTATGGAAACTGCTGGTTCTGCAGTCATTCCTGGGGTGCCTTGCAGGTAAAAGTATCTTATTAAGAACTTTTGATGCGTGCATGGCAGCTCCTCTTTGTGAAGTCTGGTTCCATATTCCTATGTATATAGGCCAGGGGACTGTCTGAAAAGACGTCACGGAGATTGCAACCAACTCGGATGCAATTTATATTAGCGAATAGTAGGCCTAGTCATTAAAAAGGACAAAGAAAAGTCCAAGTTCCAAAGAAAAGGACTGTGTAGTTCAGTTAACAGGAGAACAATTGTTAAAGTAAATAACAGGATCCAGTGGACAGATCCGAGAAGAAGGGCTGTCGGCTGTTTGCTTGATAGTTTTGAATATAAATTAGATGATCGGCTTGCAAGATAGGATACTAAGATGAAAAATATTAATTTGAATGTACTGATAGCTAAGAATGTGAGATTTAATCAAGAAGAGGGAGAAATCCAAATCTTTATTCTTTGTCAGACTGATATAATTTGTAGCAGTATGAAATTAAATTCTGGGGGACGCTACTGACCCAGAGGTGCTCTGTGCTGCGCAATTGAAAACGACTTGTTACAGAAAGCCAATTACTGAGTGTTACTTTGAGAAAAACAGAGCTAAAGAAGTGTGATATTGAGCTCTTGTCTTATCAGTGTTACATTAAGGCTGATTTGATTAATCAATTTGATTGATAGGGTTTCATGTGCTTTACAATGCTATTTTTTTTTTTTGTCAGTTTTTGTATTTTAATGAAAATGTCATTTAAATGACTCAAACGTTTATTTCATTTAATTTAATTGGTGTGTAATTTGGTTCAAGTTAATCTGTGCATTTGCTTCGTTTTCTGTGCAATGTAAGTTGTAATGTTTTTATTTTGTATATATTTAATATATCCATATATATAATATAACCATCATCGTCAACAGTATTTGTAAGATTTGAATTCATCACAATGAAGTGTATTTTCATCTCATTCTCATATCACTGACAAATGTTTTCATTGCTTACTTTAACGAGATTAACCCTTGTGTTTTGTGAGGTGGATGATTTGAGGGAAATACTAGGGAAATTGTCCCCCAATTACTTTTTAGTCAACACAAACTAGTTACAAACCTATAAAGTTCATACCGTGCAACGCCATTGAAGCCAATGATCCTTCCCACTCACAGTGTCTTAAAAGAGAAAATTAGGGCTGTAGGGAACTAAAACCCACCCCCCTCATCTATCTATAAAGTCATTGTTGTTAATTAATGTACAAAGAGAGGAAATGGCGATACGCATGTATTCAAACTCGTATCTTGAATTTATTTCATATTTCATTAAGGAACAATTAAGGTGGCTATTATCTCTATTAATACTTTCTTTTTTAACTGAGTGCGCTTTTACATCAATAATCTGATTCGGAGAAGCGGTCCCATTTCTCATACGTAACACTGTCTGTGTGAAATTAGCACTTTTTACCTTCATTTAAGTATTTAATCAACTAGTGAGATGATGTCCTGCTAATTATCTACTGTAGTTTACATTTAAGAAATGAAAGAGAAAGATCCACAGATGCCACAAATTATCACTAATGTATATTTGAGCATTTTCTTTACCTTTAGTTTTGGTGATACAGATGTGGGAGACTTTTTGTAAATGTGTTTTAATTTAATTTAATTTAATTTAATTTAATTTAATTTAATTTAATTTAATTTAATTTAATTTAATTTAATTTAATTTAATTTAATTTAATTTAATTTAATTTAATTTAATTTAATTTAATTT